CTACATGAGGTCCGGCAGGGAACACTTGGCGTGGATACTCGCGGTTGAGGTCCGGCAGGGAACACTGGGCGTGGATGGTCGCGGTTGAGGTCTGGCAGGGAACACTGGGCGGGGATGGTCGTGGTTGAGGTCCGGCAGGGAACACTGGGCGTGGATGGTCGTGGTTGAGGTCCGACAGAGAACACTGTGCGTCGAGGGTCGCGGTTGAGCAGGAGGAGGAGGAGGAGAGGAGGAGAGGAGCAGGCAACTGACATAAAATCTAACAACCCTCACCTGGCAGGTGGGGAAAAACATGTCAACACCAAAACTAGTCAATTTTCCCCATTTTTTGACTTGCACGAGTTTGAGAAAAACATGTCAACACCAAAACTAATCAATTTTCCCCATTTTTCGGATTCCAGGAGTTTGAGAAAAAACATGTCAGCACCAAAACTAGTAAATTCTCACCATTTTTTGGATTCCAGGAGTTTGAGAAAAACATGTCAACACCAAAACTAGTCAATTTTCACCATTTTTGGATTCCAGGAGTTTGAGAAAAACATGTCAACACCAAAACTAGTTAATTTTCACCATTTTTTGGATTCCAGGAGTTTGAGGAAAAAACATGTCAACACCAAAACTAATCAATTTTCCCCATGGTTCTAAGTTTCAGTCCGTCAACACCAAAACTAGTCAATTTTCACCATTTTTTGGATGCCAGGAGTTTGAGAAAAACATGTCAACACCAAAACTAGTCAATTTTCACCATTTTTGGATTCCAGGAGTTTGAGAAAAAACATGTCAACACCAAAACTAGGCAATTTTCCTCATTTTTTGGATTCCAGGAGTTTGAGAAAAACATGTCAACACCAAAACTAGTCAATTTTCCCGCATTTTTTGACTTGCACGAGTTTGAGAAAAACATGTCAACACCAAAACTAATCAATTTTCCCCATTTTTTGGATTCCAGAAGTTTGAGAAAAAACATGTCAACACCAAAACTGGGCAATTTTCCCAATTTTTTGGATTCCAGGAGCTGAGAAAAAACACACACACATATATATATATATATTTATGTATATATATGTACATATGTATATTACATGATTTTGCTATATTTGGAGGGTAGTGGTTCTAAGTTTCATTCCGTCAACACCAAAACTAGTCAATTTTGCCTATTTTTTTTGGATTCCAGGAGTTGAGAAAAAAATATGTCAACACCAAAACTAGTCAATTTTCCCCATTTTTTTGGATTCCAGAAGTTTGAGAAAAAACATGTCAACACCAAAACTGGGCAATTTTCCCAATTTTTTGGATTCCAGGAGCTGAGAAAAAACACACACATATATATATATTTATGTATATATATGTACATATGTATATTACATGATTTTGCTATATTTGGAGGGTAGTGGTTCTAAGTTTCATTCCGTCAACACCAAAACTTTTGGATTCCAGGAGTTGAGAAAAAATATGTCAACACCAAAACTAGTCAATTTTCCCCATTTTGGGATTCCAGAAGTTGAGAAAAAACATGTGTATATATATATAATATGTATATATGTACATATGTATATTACATGATTTTGCTATATTTGGATGGTAGTGGTTCTAAGTTTCATTCCGTCAGGACCAAAACTAGTCAATTTTCACCATTTTTGGATTCCAGGAGTTGAGAAAAAACATGTGTATATATAATATGTATATATGTACATATGTATATATGTACATATGTATATATGTACATATGTATATTACATGATTTTGCTATATTTGGAGGGTAGTGGTTCTAAGTTTCATTCCGTCAACACCAAAACTAGTCAATTTTCTTCCTTTTTTGAATTCCAGGAGTTGAGGAAAAAACATGTCAACACCAAAACTAGCAAACTTTCCCTTTTTTGGATTCCAGGAGTTGAGAAAAAACATGCGTATATATATATGTGTGTGTGTATATGTCAGTTATTTCCAACCATTTCCCCGCATTTTATGGGTAGCTCAATTGCCAATGGGATTTCATTTAGCTCCTAAAACACCAGTGGATGCACGCAATGCAATGCTTTCCCACCAAACATTTGTTTTGTGTTCTATTTCAGCTCCCGATTTCTGTAAGACAAGGGATATGCATATATATATATATAGATATGCATGTCTATTCAAACCCTTTTCAAAGAAGACATTGTTTTCAGGGGCACCTTTACATTTCCATATCTTATCCTCTATTCTGGTATATGCCAATGATTCAAGTTTCTATATTTCCAAATGCACCTTACATATACATATATATATATATGCATACTCATATATTATATAATTCCAAGCAGTTCCCCAAAAATATAATCCCTTCTCCCTAATACTAAACGTCCACCCCTACTAATAAACACGACAGGTAGTTTTTAGTATTAGGGGTGTATTTAGTATTAGGGAACCCTAATACTAAATTAAAACCCTTGATAATAAAAACTATTTTTTCCGATCTCAAAATCAATTAATTAAATTTCTTTATATAACGCTATTAAAATAT